ATATTTCAGCAGCCGTCATGTTTATTTATATTGGATATTGTAGTTCCGGTCAGTGTTGTATTAATACGCTAAGAATTGTGTCTCGTGATGCATGGTAATTAAAGTCCCATCAACGACACAGCTTTCAAATAGGCTATATAGTGACAATGCCATGCAAATGAAAATATTTATCTATGTATATCAATTCATTTTTTCAGACATGGTAGCTCATCAAGCTACACTGAGATGGGGAATAGAATTATTTCAATACATGTAGTGCAGGCATTCCCCTCTTCTGGTTTACCGCTATGCTAAGTACTGCTCCAATCTCCTTGCAGTATCGATATCCTGCCTGGTATATACGGTCCGCTAGCTGATTGGTTGAGGAGTCAATAGCTTGACAATTCGTGAACATCCTTCCCTTCAGCAGAGTATTCATTCAACTACATGTACCTGCTTGTATCAATCTTACCTGACACTCAGGTGAAGGATATTCACCATGTAAACATATTTTAGTACATAGTAACTGAGTTGCCCCTTTTTGCCATTTTTTGTTCGTTTATTGTGTTTAATATATGTTTTTATTTGTATTTGTTTAGTGTGGATGGAGATTGGATTTTAACTTTTGTAATAAATATGTAGTGAACTGTCACATTTATATTCTAGTAATTTGTTCAGTTTAAATATAAGCATAGAAGTTTTGCAGAAAGAAAACTTAAATATTGAATGAAAGAAACTGTAAATCCTGTATTTTGTAAATAACTTTATTATACAGTTAAAGTATGGGGTTGAGGAATATAGCAAGTTTCTAGTGTCCCGAGACCAGGTCTATTTCCCGAGGCGAAGCCGAGGGAAATAGGCATGGTCAAGGGACACCAGAAACTTGCTATATATGCCTCAACCCCATACTTTAACCGTTTTATTATACCGATACACACTGGAGAGATAGTTTTAACTAGAAAATATTGGTAAACCATAAGCTGTATAGCTTCACGTCCCAACTAACCTTTTGATGGCAATGGAGCCAAATGCTTCTGAGTTCGGTAGCAAGCTCCGCCCACCTCGCGCGTCACTGCCGAGTTCGGTAACAAGCTCCGCCCACCTCTCGCCTGATTGGCTCGGCGGAAACACCCGAGTGTAGGTGTGTTTTAGTTCCCAGACTAACACACAGGACTAAAACACAGTCAGGCAAAAGTGGGGATATATTCGATTTAACCAATTACTTTTATATAGAGTAAATAAAGTAGAGGTATAATAATAGGATTTAAAACATAAGAAGTCTGTGGGTCATGAATTGCTCACCAGGCTATTTTGGAAATTAAGTTGAAATCTGCCCGGTAGTTAAGAAAGAGCCCCAAGGAGGGCATGCCCCTTTATTTGTATAATAGTTTTGATCCTCAAGGGCTAAGGATGCTATCTCTACAATTTGGTTTAAACCTGACTTGTAGTTTGGGAAGTGATGTAATTTAAAGAAAATCTTCAGTTTAACCCCTTTTGACCCCAACCCTCAGCTCCTCGGAGGGTCAGACCCTTTATTGTATAATGTTAGATATCCATGGGCTTTGATTTGCTTGTGTTTTACGTCCTATTAACAGCTATGGTCATTTAAGGACGTGCCAGGTTTTGGTGGTGGAGGAAAGCTGGATATCCCAGAGAAAAGCCACCAACCTATAGCCAGTACCTGGCGACTGCCCTACGTAGGTCTTGAACCTGCGACTCAGTGGTGGAGGGCTACTGGTAACAGAATGTCATACGCTTTTAACCACTTGGCCAACGAGGCCCCCACTAAGCATGCTAAAATGTACCACTCAATTAGGTTGAAATCAGCTCAGTAGTTAAGGATGAGAGTTCTTTTGAATTCAATCAGCCTATTTGACCTCAAACTTTTGGAGATGTCATCCAAACAAAACCTGAATTACTGAATTTTTACCTGACTCCTCAACCCTCAGGGTCACTCAGTCCTTTGTCATAGGCTGTCTAGTTCTTTGGGAGGAGATGTCAATGAGCGGAAATCAGCCTATTTGATGACTCCTTTATTTGTAATAGTTTTGATCCCCATGGCCTAATAAGGTTGCTAACATTATAATTTGGTTGAATTCTGCTGAGTTTGGGACAGACGACGGATAACGAACAATGAACCACACCATACATACATGTAAGCTAAAAGTGGTACAAATATTACCATTTGAGGCAAAAAAAACATGGTTATTGCATGAAATAACAAGAGATCCCAAAGGGATCTTGGCGCCCACCATTGTACCATCTTCATTAGTTCTTTGTCGGTTTGATCTTTTCTCTTCTTTCCTCTAATCTGTTTGATCGAGTCATGTTAACAGTAAATGCACCTTGAGGTAACTTTTGATCTTAACTTAATACTGATGTGTATGAAAGCCAACCTTCAAAGTGAGTTTGTCTTTTCACATATTTACTAGTACAGTACTTAATGTGAAAGAAATAGAATCAATCATTGCAATATTAGAAAGATCTGTTTAGTTCTTCATTTAGTCATTTTGTTTTTATGATCAGTCTCAAAATATAACATGCACAGCGAGGGATCAAGGGGAACCTACATATCAAATTTGAGAAATATCCCTGAGAAATACCTTGAGAAATACCTTGAATGCTTCCTGCCAAACGTATATTCAATCTTTGAAATGTGACGGGTTTTTTAAATTAAATCGTTAGTTGCCCTGACCTCTCGTCGAAACATGAATTTACTTTCAAGATATCTTGACACATTGAATAGGAATTCAAAATTGTAGCCCTAGAAAGTTAAATGTTATCCTCTGCCAACTTAGAAATAATGCCAGTGACTTAAATTATGACAAATTTGCTGACCATCTTTCTCCTGATTCTTCCTGTTCATGTGGTCATCCAATTGAAAATTCTGAACACTTCTTCTTCATTGTCCAAATTACTCTAATTCCATGAACTTAATCCATGATATCTATACCAGAGCTGGATACTTAAATGTTCAACTTTTGACACCTGGAAGTACTGATTTACCTTCTGAAATAAATATACTGATTTTGTCTAATGTTGAAAAGTACATCAATGCATCCAAACGGTTAAGATGATGTAAATAAATGCTTAAATATAATCAATCTATTATATATGTTTTTTGCATGTACATACAATTAAATATTTTTTTTCTCTGTAATTACCTAAATCAATCATAATTGTTGATAGTTGCTAGTCAATTTAGATAATATTGTAAATATCATATAGTGAATGAGTATTGACACGAGTGTGTATAGTGAGTGTAAGTAGTTAATTGTATGAATGTATGATTGAGTGTATGAATTGAATACAATAATATAAATAGCTTATTAATTACATGTCTATATATAATATCATACCTACACCATCATGGAGAAGATTGATATAGGCCTAGCCTGTTATCCGATCCATTTATATATGTTTATTTATATTTATAATAAAATTTGTTAAAACAAATTGAATAGGAATAGTACTAACAAACCTTCAATGTCAAAAACCATAGATGTCTGTTGGTAGGCCATTTTGTTTAACTGATCAGTTTCAAAAGTAAACATGAACAATAAAGGATAGTGGGGAACGTGCATTGGCTGGCCCAATTTTTGGTTTTTTGGGGCGAGTAAAAATAATTTCCACAGCATTTAACACAATGCTTCAGCACATTTAAATTACATATAACATGACAATGTTTGTAATATGGAAAACAGAATAAAACATTATATTTTTAATTCTTCAACCCTAGTTAAAAACCCAACATGATCCACTCCATTCAGGTCTTCCCAAAAAGAAATACACAAAACTTGCACCTCAAAGAAGACACCCTGGCATTATTTATATAGAAAATCTGAAAAAAAAATCATCACATTTTCTAAATCACGGACAGTTCGATTCAAATCGAAGTAATGACAACTGAAAAATGTACTGCCCCCCAGTTAATGTGGAAGGGACTATAATTTCTTTTATTCATTAATTTTCGACAGTCGCCCAAACTATTTTTGATTCGCCAGTGACTACCTTACTTTTGACAACTTTTGGTCGCTCGAGCAAGACTTTAACCGCCATTGGCGAGCAGGCCACCGACCATTTCAGGCACTGCTGCAACAACAAGGGAACAAGTGAAACCTACATATAAAATTTGAGAAAGATCCCTCTGGTACTTCCCGAGAAATAGCGATAACAAACTTTCACTATCAAAATCCAAGATGGCTGCCTATCGGCCATATTGTTTATCCGATCAGTCTCAAAAGTTGCCCTGCACAGCTAAGGACCAAGGGAAACCTACATATACAATTTGAAAAAGATCCCTTTGGTACTTCCCGAGAAATAGCAATAACAAACTTTCACTATCAAAACCCAAGATGGCTGCCTGTCCGCCATGTTGTTTATCCGATCAGTCTCAAAAGTTGCCCTGCACAGCATCAAGTACTTCTTGAAAAATATCGATAACAAGAATTGTTTAAGGACGACAGACAGCGGACGACGGATGGACGGACCACGGACACAGGGTGATTTGAATAGCCCACCATCAGATGATGGTGGGCTAAAAAACTTATGTAGAAGGAACAACATAAAAATGACAAGAGGCCCATGGGCCTTAACGGTCACCTGAGTCCTACAGTAATTATTTTTGTTGTTGAAATATGTACCAATTTGAGTAAAAAATAGTATAATGTTAACTTAACTTTGTCAGGACCATGAGCTGATCATTCCTAGACCAATTTTAGGTGAGATCAGCCTATTAGAACTTGTTTTTAAGTTTGAAATAGGTATTTACAAAATACCGGCCATGGCGGCCAAATTGTATTTCTGATTGACCCGAACGATCATTCCTACAAAGTTTCAGTTCAATCGGCCAAGCAGAACTTGACTTTAAGTTTGAAATGTAAAATGTTAACGGACGACGGACGACGGACGACGACGGGCGACGACGGACGAAAACGGATAGCAATAGGGCACTTGAGCTAAAGCTCAGGTGACCTAAAAATATATATACACTTTTGTATATATTATCAAAAGATATTATTGTTTCACCATCTAATGGCATTGTTAAACATTGACTTCATTGACTTTCACTTTTTCAGCAAATCTTTAAAATTCAAAGTTCCAGTAATATTTTTCTTTCACAAACATATATCCATTTCTATATTGATATTGACGTATCCCTAATTAAGTCCTTCACATACTGGTGAGTACTGCTACGTACACTTCCAGATGGGTGAGTACTGCTACGTACACTGCCAGACTGGTGAGTACTGCTACGTACACTGCCAGATGGGCGAGTACTGCTATGTACACTGCCAGACTGGTGAGTACTGTTACGTACACTGCCAGACTGTTGAGTACTGCTACGTACACTGCCAGACGGGTGAGTACTGCTACGTACACTTTTAAGTTTGAAATAGGTATTTACAAAATACCGGCCATGGCGGCCAAATTGTATTTCTGATTGACCCGAACGATCATTCCTACAAAGTTTCAGCCCAATCGGCCAAGCAGAACTTTACTTTAAGTTTGAAATAGTTTTTCAAAATGGCAGCCATGGTGGCCATATTGGATTTCTGATCGACCCGAAAAATAAAAACACTTTGTCAGGCCCATGAGGCGATCATTCCTACCAATTTTCAGTTCAATCGGCCCAGCAGAACTTGACTTTAAGTTTGAAATGTAAAATGTTAACGGACGACGGACGACGGACGACGACGGACGACGACGGACGAAAACGGATAGCAATAGGGCACTTGAGCTAAAGCTCAGGTGACCTAAAAATATATATACACTTTTGTATATATTATGAAAAGATATTATTGTTTCACCATCTAATGGCATTGTTAAACATTGACTTCATTGACTTTCACTTTTTCAGCAAATCTTTAAAATTCAAAGTTCCAGTAATATTTTTCTTTCACAAACATATATCCATTTCTATATTGATATTGACGTATACCTAATTAAGTCCTTCACATACTGGTGAGTACTGCTACGTACACTTCCAGATGGGTGAGTACTGCTACGTACACTGCCAGACGGGTGAGTACTGCTACGTACACTGCCAGACGGGGGAGTACTAGCTGCTATGTACACTGCCAGACGGGTGAGGACTGCTACGTACACTGCCAGACTGGTGAGTACTGCAACGTACACTGCAAGAAGAGTGAGTACTAGCTGCTATGTACACTGCCAGCCGGGTGAGTACTGCTACGTACACTGCCAGACTGGTGAGTACTGCTATGTACACTGCTTGACGGGTGAGTACTGTTACGTACACTGCCAGACTGGTGAGTACTAGCTGCTAAGTACACTGCCAGAGTAGTGAGTACTGCTACGTACACTGCCAGCCTGGTGAGTACTGCTATGTACATTGCCAGAAGGGTGAGTACTAGCTGCTATGTACACTGCCAGACGGGCGAGTACTAGCTGCTATGTACACTGCCAGAGTGGTGAGTACTGCTACGTACACTGCCAGACTGGTGAGTACTGCAACGTACACTGCAAGAAGGGTGAGTACTAGCTGCTATGTACACTGCCAGACGGGTGAGTACTGCTACGTACACTACCAGACTGGTGAGTACTGTTACTGCTAGGTAAACTGCCAGAGGGGTGAGTACTGTTACTGCTACGTACACTGCCAGAGGGATGAGTACTGCTACGTACACTGCCAGACTGGTGAGTACTGCTACATAGACTGCCAGACGGGTGAGTACTGTTACGTACACTGCCAGACTGGTGAGTACTAGCTGCTAAGTACACTGCCAGAGTGGTGAGTACTGCTACGTACACTGCCAGCCTGGTGAGTACTGCTACGTACACTGCCAGAAGTGTGAGTACTAGCTGCTATGTACACTGCCAGACGGGTGAGTACTGCTACGTACACTGCCAGATGGGCGAGTACTGCTATGTACACTGCCAGACTGGTGAGTACTGCTACGTACACTGCCAGATGGGCGAGTACTGCTATGTACACTGCCAGACTGGTGAGTACTGTTACGTACACTGCCAGACTGTTGAGTACTGCTACGTACACTGCCAGACTGGTGAGTACTGCTACGTACACTGCCAGACTGGTAAGTACTGTTACATATAATGCCAGACGGGTGAGTACTGCTACTTACACTGCCAGATGGGTGAGTACTGGTATGTACACTGCCAGACTGGTGAGTACTGTTACATATAATGCCAGACGGGTGAGTACTGCTATTTACACTGCCAGATGGGTGAGTACTGGTACGTACACTGCCAGACTGGTGAGTACTGTTACATATACACTCACATTCTCACTCCTTTAGCAGCATGCCTCGGTCATTTTTAAGATATACAACATATATATTAAAGTAAAAACTAGAAATCTTTCCTTTTAAAGGGAAGATAAAATGATTTCTTCTTCTGAATTTTCTGTAAGTTTAATCTTGCACAGCAGTAAGAACAGGTTTTGTTGTGTATGAACATGTCCATATATAACACATTTATACACTTGTTGAAAAAAATGAACTTGGCATCAAAGTTAACTAGTTCCAATACTGTAGAAACAAGTTTTAGGCACTATCAAAGATTTAACCTTTAATATCAAAGGTTTTTGTTTGACAACAACATTCAGTTCACAAATGCAACTAGCTCATTTCAAGTTCATGTCTATTTTTGGCATTCAATCACAATTGTCCTTTATAACGGTGGTTGGCCCTTGAATCGTATATGTAAGACACAAAATCAATGTTTACTCTGCTATAGACAACACCAAATGGTGACCTCCAACTTGATCCCAGTTGTAATGATTTTCGCTTTAAAATAGCATATCTGGCTTCTATACTTGACCCAGGTTGCTATGAATACAAGATTTTCAGGTGTAACTGAGGAACTTGCTATGTGGCCACAGGTGGAGGGTGTGGCTCCATCCATGCCTTCTGTAGGTCTGGTATTCCGTCTGGCCCTGAGAGAGGGTCTATCTGAGCCTGGGTAAGGAAGGTAGCACCAGCATCATCTTCAGTCCTGGAACATACAAACAGGTAAGTAAACATGGTCAAAAGTTTATGTATATATTAATTGTATTTAGAATATAAGATATGTAAAACAAATATGAAGGAAGTGAGTTATAATCTGTTTTTGTATGTGTTTTATAATACCTATGTTTGTTTGATTTGGTTTGGGTACAAAGGTCATAATATAACAGAAATATCTAGGTAATTTGTATCTAGTTGCAGTATTCAAACCCTGTCAAATTGATGCTTTAGACCTTTAATGGTTCACACAGGCTGATATCAAACATATTCATGAAGCTGCAATGAGATTGCATAATTTTGTCTGTAATTACTAGGCTACATACTTTTCTCCTTGGGTTAGACTCAACCGGTGTTGTCTCTGCTCTATCGACGGGAGGGGAGGGGCAGAGAGAGAATTACCATCCCTTTTCTTATTTCCATTCATTCTAGCAAAAAGATATCGCAGGATTCGTTCCTTCTGTTCCCATGTTAGGTCCCCAATGTCAACTTTACCAGATATGTCATATCTGAAATACAAAATTTATTAAAAAAACTGGTTTGACAAAATCTATATTTTGTTAGATCTAAACTAATCAATCCATTCTTCAACTGTAAGAAATGTCTATTTTTAGGTACATACAACAAAGCTATACATGTAAGCTATCTGGATAATCCTAAAGTTAATTAAATTGAAAGCGAAAATGTTGTGCAAAGCAACAGTTTAAGTATGATTTATAAACAGAAGTCTAGACATCTAAAGCTACTGTTGGTTGTAAGATGGACATATTTACAAACCATGACTAACAAGTCCTTAGCAGAAAAATTTAAAACATTTCAACATGCCATGCTTAAGTTACTGGTGATAAAGTTGGTAAGTAAATATCCTTTGACATGCAGATTCACATATTATATAATACACACATTTCCATAAACTGTGGTGAACAAATGAGGCGTCAGAAACAAAATGATTGATGACAGACATTTTTTTGTGTTTGCAATAAATAATCTATCCTAATATCACGTTACAAATTCGATGAAAGAGATGTGTGTCTTTGTTACTGCTCATTAGTGTGCCTAGTGGTTTTATCGTCACTACCCAAGTTGTCGATGTGAGGACATGACAACACTTGGATTTCACCTATAGTAAATGTAGATTTCCAAGATGCCTATCTATACCCATCTAGAACAGCTGGTTCTGTTCTTCTTGTACTTTTTCAAAAGTCTCCATGTAAGTCTTTCCTTTGTTCATATTAAGTTCTAGTTTTACAGAATTTGTACTAAAAATGTTAAATTTGTTTTCAAACGCACTCCCATTTATCACCTTATGACATGTTCTCAGATATTAATGAAGATTTAATTTTACTAGATTGTTGTTTCCTGAAACCTGACAAGATCTGATCATGTTCAAACAAACATTAGCTTACTCTGTATTTGAGTCCGGTAAGGTAATATCCCACATCTTACAACATTAGCTTATTCTCTGTATTTGAGTCCGGTAAGGGAATATCCCACATCTTACAATTTTAGCTTATACTCTGGATTTGAGTCCGGTAAGGTAATATCCCGCATCTTACAACATTAGCTTATACTCTGTCTTTGAGTCCGGTAAGGTAATATGGCTCATCTTACAACATTAGCTTATCCTCTGTATTTGAGTCCGGTAAGGAAATATCCCACATCTTACAACATTATCTTACTCTGTATTTTAGTCCGGTAATGTAATATCCCACATCTTACAATTTTAGCTTATACTCTGTATTTGAGTCCGGTAAGGTAATATCCCACATCTTACAATTTTAGCTTATACTCTGTATTTGAGTCCGGTAAGGTAATATCCCACATCTTACTTTGTATTTGAGTCTGGTAAGGTAATATCCCACATCTTACAATATTTCTCCAATAACAGTTGGCATTAAACAATATAAAACCATTATTTTACATCAGATATAGTAGTTGTAAGAGAGAGTAGGTAGAGAGTAATCCTACACAGTTCTGTCAATACAGGCCTTCATTCCTAACATTTTGCTACATTATCCCATAGAAAAATTAGGATGTAACAACCGTCTGCAAAACTATCAGCTTTCACCATTCACAGTGCTCTCCAGGTTTATTTTAGGACACCAATCTTGTGTACATTGTGACATCACGTTACTATTGTAGTGTGGTGACATGTAATTGTGATGTCATGACGTCGTTCTTTTGATCAATATAAACCTGAAGAGCCCTGTGAAGGGTGAAAGCTGTTAGTTTTGAAGTCGGTCGTTACATCTCGATTTTTCTATACTTGCTGACTTCAAAAGAACATTTAATTTTAATAATTGTATATGGTAGGTTGTGTATATGATTGCTGTGATGATACACTGTAATGTGTTTGATGTAATATTTCAACACTATTTATAGTGTGACCTTTAACCCAACAATACAGATGCACTTACTTGACCTTCCTCCTGTGAGATGGTGAAAAGAAGAAAAATATGAATGGTCAATGTCTGATATGTACAATGAAAACTACAACTGTCATGTAACAAGACAACATTAGGGACAACTGACAACATTAGGTACAACTAAGGCAGAACCAGACAAGTGACTGTAAGGACAACATTGGGAACAACAGAGGCGGAACCAGACAGGTGATAGTAAGGACAACATTGGGGACAAGTGAGGCGGAACCAGACAGGTGACAGTAAGGACAACATTGGGGACAACTGAGGCGGGACCAGACAGGGGACAGTAAGGACAACATTGGGGACAACTGAGGAAAAACCAGACAGGTGACGGTAAGGAAAACATTGGGGACAACTGAGGCGGAACCAGACAAGTGACGGTAAGACAACATTTGGGACAACTGAGGCGGGACCAGACAGGTGATGGTAGGGACAACATTGTGGACAACTGTGGCGGGACCAGACAGGGGACAGGAAGGACAACATTGGGGACAACTGAGGAAAAACCGGACAGGTGACGGTAAGGAAAACATTGGGGACAACTGAGGCGGGACCAGACAGAGGACGGTAAGGACAACATTGGGGACAACTGAGGCCGGACCAGACAGGTGACGGTAAGGACAACATTGTGGAAAACTGAGGCGTAACCAGACAGGTGAGAGTAAGGACAACATTGGGGAAAACTGAGGCGGAACTAGACAGGTGAAAGTAAGGACAACATTGGGGACAACTGAGGCGGAACCAGACAGGTGACAGTAAGGACAACATTGGAGACAACTGAGGTGCGACCAGACAGGTGACGGTAAAACAACATTATGGACAACTGTGGCGGGACCAGACAGGTGACAGTAAGGACAACATTTGGGACAACTGAGGCGGGACCAGACGGGTGACGGTAAGGACAACATTGGGGACAACTGAGGCGGGACCAGACAAGTGGCTGTGAGGACAACATTTGGGACAACTAAGACAGAACTAGACAGGTGATGGTAAGGACAACATTGGGGACAACTGAGGAAAACCCAGACAGGTGACGGTAAGGAAAACATTGGGGACAACTGAGGCGGGACCAGACAGGTGATGGTAAGGACAACATTGGGGACAACTGAGGTGTGACCAGACAGGTGACGGTAAGGACAACATTGTGGAAAACTGAGGCGTAACCAGACAGGTGAGAGTAAGGACAACATTGGGGAAAACTGAGGCGGAACTAGACAGGTGAAAGTAAGGACAACATTGGGGACAACTGAGGCGGGACCAGACAGGTGAATGTAAGGACAACATTGTGTACAACTAAGGAAAAACCAGACAGGTGACGGTAAGGACAACATTGGGAACAACTGAGGCGGAACCAGACAGGTGACGGTAAGACAACAGGACAACTGAGGAAAAACCAGACAGGTGACGGGAAGGAAAACATTGGGGACAACTGAGGCGGAACCAGACAGGCGACGGTAAGACAACATTTGGGACAACTGAGGCGGGACCCGACGGGTGATGGTAAGGACAACATTGTGGACAACTGAGGAAAAACCAGACAGGTGACGGGAAGGAAAACATTGGGGACAACTGAGGCGGAACCAGACAAGTGACTGTAAGACAACATTTGGGACAACTGAGGCGGGACCAGACGGGTGATGGTAAGGACAGCATTGTGGACAACTGGGGCGGGACCAGACAGGTGATAGTAAGGACAACATTGTGGACAACTGGGGCGGGACCAGACAGGTGAAGGTAAGGACAACATTGTGGGCAACTGAGGAAGAACCAGACAGGTGACAGTAAGGACAACATTTGGGACAACCGAGGCGGGACCAGACAGGTGACAGTAAGGACAAGATTGGGGACAACTGAGGCGGGACCAGACAGGTGATGGTAGGGACAACATTGTGGACAACTGTGGCGGGACCAGACAGGGGACAGGAAGGACAACATTGGGGACAACTGAGGCGGAACCAGACAGGGGACAGTAAGGACAACATTGGGGACAACTGAGGAAGAACCAGACAGGTGACAGTAAGGACAACATTTGGGACAACTGAGGCGGGACCAGACGGGTGACGGTAAGGACAACATTGGGGACAACTGAGAAAGAACCAGACAGGTGACGGTAAGGACAACATTGTGGAAAACTGAGGCGTAACCAGACAGGTGAGAGTAAGGACAACATTGGGGAAAACTGAGGCGGAACTAGACAGGTGAAAGTAAGGACAACATTGGGGACAACTGAGGCGGAACCAGACAGGTGACAGTAAGGACAACATTGGGGACAACTGAGGCGGAACTAGACAGGTGACAGTAAGGACAACATTGTGGACAACTGAGGAAGAACCAGACAGGTGACAGTAAGACAACATTGTGGACAACTGAGGCGGAACCAGACAGGTGACGGTAAGACAACATTTGGGACAACTAAGGCAGAACTAGACAGGTGACGGTAAGGACTGCAGTCTATATACGCATTTGTAACAAGTTATTGTTAGCACACATATTGGCAATTCATTTTGAAACTTTGAAAAAAATTAATGTACGAGGTTAATAAATAAAGATTCCAATCAAAGCAAAATAAAGAAAGCTCAAGCGGCTATTTTCCAAATACTTAGTATAAATGAGTCTCAGACAAAAAGAACATAGAAGCTTACTAGTCAGTTGACATTGATGACAAAAATAAAAAAGATTTTGTACATTCAATACCTAAGCAAAAGATTTTACAAAACAAAGACACCAAAAATCGACATACTACGAACTATGTCAGCTCACAGTCAAACCTCAGATTGACAGAGATTAATACTCAATCACTTCAGCTCACAGTCAAACTTAAGATTGATAGAGATTAATACTCAATCACTTTAGCTCAAAGTCAAAGCTGCCAAACTGACGGAGATCAATACTCAATCACTTCAGCTCACAGTCAAACCTCAGATTGACAGAGATTAATACTCAATCACTACAGCTCACAGTCAAACCTCAGACTGACAGAGATTGTAACTCAATCATTTTCTTCAATTGCTTGGTAATTATAGTTGTAGTCAAATTTGTATTATAGCTAACCTCTTTGGACTATGGGCTACTAATAAATTTTGAGACAAATAAGAACTAAATAGTCTCTGTTCCTAATAATAAAAATCAGAGGGATCTGCTCCTTTATCAAGACAACATCAACAGGAAAACATCGAACAATTACACTAAATAAGAACAAAATTAAAATAAAATGGAACTGATCAGGCTTAAATACAATAATCTCTTTGGCTAATACTTATTAAGTGTTTTGTATCCTACAAGTTTCCAATCTCAAGGATGCAGTGTTATATAAGATAGTATTATTGATATTACTGTTTCTACCAATATTTATTTAGTATCAATCAGGTAGATTTTTATTCTGTGGATATTTAATACACGTATAACCCCAATATACCACCACCTTTCATTCAAAGACACTTTTTGGCCCCGCCCCACAGTTGATACAAAAGTGAATTCCTCTTGCCCGAGGATGTTTTGGACTAAGTTCAAATTCTTCCATTCATACAGTAGAAGAGGAATTTTAAATGATTTACTAATATTCTCCCTAATGGGCTCCGCCCTTCTGCTCTGTGAGGAGCCACACCCTCCATTTATACAAAAGTGAATTTCTCTTGCCCAATGATGTTCTAGACAAAATTTGGTTTGGATCCCTCCATTAATACAGAAGAATGTTTTTAAACATTTTCCCCTATGTACTCCCTAATGGGCCCCTTTTGCATAAGGATGCTCTTTACAACATTTGGATAAAATCCCTCAAAGTAAACTGAAGGAGAAGAATTTTAAACATTTATTACTATATTACCCCTGGACCCTTCCCCTTAGCTCCCATCCCTCTGCACCAAGAAGAGCCACAACCTCCGTTTATACAAAATTTAGTCCCCTTTGCCCAAGGATGTTACAGGCCAAATTTGGATAAAATCAATAAAGCTGTTGAGGACTAGTAGCATTTTAAAGGAAAAGTTGACGGACGGACAGATGGACACTGTGGTATGGCATAAGCTCACAATGGTCCTTCGGACAGACAGGCAAACAAGCTGATTCATGTATGCATCTCCTGAAACACAATTACACTAAAGGAAACAAAAAATTGTGTTTCCCTACAACATTACCAAGAAATGTAAGATTGTCTTATAACCTCTTTCAAGGTTTAGACTTAATTGACCAACAATGAGTTCAAACAGTGTTAGCAAAAACATAATGAAGATTTATGCAACTTAGGGTTGAGAATACATACAAGGTTTCTGCAGCTTCTAAGTCCTTGTAAACACTGTTTGTGCTCTGGTCCGATTTATTGAATGTCCTTATTCTGGGGTAATCTCCCTTTCCTGAGAATGCTTTAAGCATCCTCTGCTGATATGCACCCTGTGCATCTCTGCGATATTGAGCCCTGAAAAATATCATTACCATACTAATAAATTATTGTTCATGTTAACAATGTTTGAGTCTGTTTCATTTTTCCATATTACCCAGAACTTTTTTAGATTAAAAATAGTGATTAAGGCAAAAGATATTTTTTTTTTCATGATGGTTGAGAACTGAAACTGTATGTAATGGGATTAAAATTGGTCTCATTACATAATAAACACATCACCCAATCTTTGCATGTTTTAACTTATCACTAATCAAAGTAAGGCTAGACACACGCCTAAAAACATTGTTAGATTAATGAGATATAATAATCAAATTTTCAATTGTCATATCATTAAAGCTTTGTCAGGTTGAACTAAAGAATTCTGGAATTCACTTTTGATTGAAAGATCAATGTCTTACATACAATGATCAACAACTTTCAACGAAGTTATTGGCTTTCCTGGTGTGTTTTTTTTTTTTTTTTTTTTTTTTTAATTTTCAGTGGAACTACCTGTAATGTAAATTATGACAATGATGGATCATTATATTTGAACATCTAACTCTTTTTCCATCTAGTCTTATTTTGTGGCTAACATGTACCTTTAAAATTGTAAAATTGAAAAGAAAATTGGGGTCTGCTGTGTGTTTTTTCCTGCTATGAGTAGCCATTCCGAACAGACAGTTTTTATCAAAGGTTTCTTATGGGATAATATTAAATTTGGAATATTTAAGTATGTCAATTGTAAAACAAATCNAGGATGCTCCAGACTAAATATGGAAAAAATCCCTTAATCTCGATGGTCGAAGAAGGATTTAAAAGGTTTTACCTCTATTTCTCCTATTGGCCCCCGCCCTTCTGCCCCCTCGGAGACCACACCCATTGCATATACAAAATTGAGTCCCCTTGGCCCAAGGATGCTCCAGACTAAATTAGGATAAAATCCCTAAATCCCTATGGTAAAAGAAGGATTTTAAAGTTTTTACCTCTATTTCCCCTATTGGGCCCCACCTCTCTGCCTCCAGGGGGGTTAGACACACCGTTTATACAAAATTGGTTCCCCTTCACCCAATGATGCTTCATACCAAATTTGGACAAAATCCTGTCATTCGTACAGAAGAAGAAGGTATTTGAAGAATTTGCAATGTTTCCCCTATTGGGCCCCTCCCTTCTGTCCCCAGGTGGGCCACACTCGCTGTTTATACGAAATTGAGTCCCTTTTGTCCAAGGATGCTCCAGACTAAATTAGGATAAAATCCCTCAATCCATATGGTATAAGAAGGATTATAAAGGTTTTACTTCTTTTTCCCCTATTGGGCCCCGCCCCTCAGGTCCCAGGAGGACAAAATTATACAAATTATACAAAATTGGTTCCCCTTTACCCAAGGATGCTCCATACCAAATATGGACCAAATCCTTTCATTCCGACAGAAGGAGAAGGATTTTAAAGAATAATTTGCTACGTTTCCCCTATTGGGCCCCACCTCTCAGGCTCCTGAGGGGCCAGACCCATGGTTTTTACAAAATTGGTTCCCCTTCACCCAAGGATGCTTCAGACCAAATATGGAACAAATCCTTGCATTCCTACAGAAGAAGAAGGATTTTAAAGAATTTGCTATATTTCCCCTATTGGGCCCCGACCCCCAGCCCCCAGGGGGGCCACACCCACCATTTATACAAAATTGAGTCCCCTTGGCCCAAGGATGCTCCAGACTAAATTAGGATAAAATCCTTTAAACCCTACGGTAGAAGAAGGATTTTCAAGGTTTTACCTCTATTTCCCCTATTTGGCCCCGCCCCTCTGCCCCCAGGGGGGCCACACCCACCGTTTATACAAAATTGAGTCCCCTTGGCCTAAGGATACTCTAGACCAAATTTAGTCAAAATCTACATGGCCGTTCAGGACTAGTAGCGTTTTAAAGGAAAAGTTGATGGACGGACGGGCGGATGATGGACGACGGACGCTGCGGTATGACATAAGCTCACCATGGTCCTTCGGCCCAGGTGAGCTAAAAATTGAAACATAGCTGTTTTGAGGTAGCAGTATAAGATGACACCAAACCATCATTTTTTCATTTTTGAAAATTCAGCGGATGATTATACTAGTTGATGGTTGTATCAAAAGAAGAACATGGATGGGTGTTCTTACCAATGAAATGAACACCTGGTGCTCACGTGAGATATTTATGGAACACTCTGATATCACCAATCAGCATTTATACATTTTATGATGATGTTTGGAATTTGAATGAGTAAAATATTTCTATATATTCAATTCATTTATACAGTCCGAAATAAAATACATTGTCCTCGCACGCATAATTTTTTAACACCGTAAACAAAAACCTAAATTTTGAGTTTGAAATATATATCTTCTGATGCTGTTTGAACCTAAGAGTTAATCGTCTCTTGACTAAAATGATAAATAAGTAGGTATTACAAGGATAAACTATTATAATAATTTAACTGTTGACACATTTATTGATTTATAAGTATTTTTGTAAAGAGTGATCCGATTTGGGTACTGATTCGAATCGGGTCCTGCCTCCTTACAGTAGAAATGGGTTAATTTTAAAGTAAAGGGCATGTCTGAGATACACTAGGATAGTGGATTAATTCTACTCAACACACAAACATATATATGAATATATTTATAAACTACATGACAAGTTCAATTTTTTTAGAAAAACATTTTTTTTCTGAAAACTTTTTCCACTTGGACTTGAAAAAAAAAAATGGTTAGCACATATCAAAGAATGCAAAAAAAAAAAAAAAAAAAAAAAAAAAAGATAATTTTAAACTCTAAATTTGATCCCTGCAGATATGATTTTTTTCTTCTTAAAACCTGTCTTAAATCAAATATCATCTACTTGGTAACAGATTTACTCGTGTTTTAGCATGAGTTCATGGAAAAATCCATTGGATTTTTCACAATATTTACAGGTGTACAAAAATAGACTAAATGATAAACTAGCTTTTGTTGTGTAGACACAGATTTGTAGATGACCAAAACTGGCCTCTCAATTCCAATGCAGTTTTTCTTTCATCATCAAATTATGAAGCCCGCACGGTCCATTTAATCATGGAAGTATATAGGCCGAGTTTAGTGCTGATTTATTTTTGAAAATTTTGGTACATGTAATATTATAGAGGTAATTTATTATACAAAAATATTACCCATGGCCATCGTTTCCTACTATACGATATTACGCATGGCCATCATATCAAACTGTACAATATTACCCATGGCCATCGTGTCAAAATGTACAATATTACCCATGGCCATCATATCCTACTGTACTATATTAACCCATGGCCATCGTTTCCTACTGTACAATATTACCCATGGCCATCATATCCTACTGTACTATATTACCCATGGCCATCGTATCCTACTGTACTATATTACCCACGGCCATCGTATCCTACTGTACTATATTACCCATGGCCATCATATCCTATTTTACTATATTACCCATGGCCATTATATCCTAGTGTACTATATAACCCATAGCCATCGTATCCTAATGTTCTATATTTATATAACCCATGGTCATCGTATCCTAATGTACTATATTACCCATGGCCATCGTATCCTACTGTACTATATTACCCATGGCCATCATGTCGTACTGTACTATATTACCCATGGTAATGTACTATATTACCCATGGCTATCGTATCCTTCTGTACTATATTTCCCATGGCCATCGTATCCTTCTGTACTATATTTCCCATGGCCATCGTTTCCTACTGTACTATATTACCCATTGCCATCGTATCCTACTGTACTATATTCCCCACGGGCATCGTATCCTACTGTTCTATATTCCCCATGGCCATCATATCCTATTTTACTATATTACCCATGGCCATTATATCCTAGTGTACTATATAACCCATATCCATCGTATCCTAATGTTCTATATTTATATAACCCATGGTTATCGTATCCTAATGTACTATATTACCCATAGCCATCATATCCTACTGTACTATATTACCCATAGCCATCGTATCCTACTGTACGATATTACCCATGGCCATCGTGTCGTACTGTACTATATTACCCATGGCCATCGTATCCTACTGTACGATATTACCCATGGCCATCATATCTTACTGTTCTATATTACCCATGGCTATCGTGTCGTACTGTACTATATTACCCATGGCCATCTTATCCTACTGTACTATATTACCCATGGCCATCATATCTTACTGTTCTATATTACCCATGGCTAGCGTGTCGTACTGTACTATATTACCCATGGCCATTGTATCCTACTGTACGATATTACCCATGGCCATCGTATCCTACTGTACTATATTTCCCATGGCCATCGTATCCTAATGTACTATATTACCCATGGCCATTGTATCCTACTGTACTATATTATACATGACCCTAATCTCCTACTGTACTATATTACCCATGGCCATCGTGTCATACCGTACTATATTACCCATGGCCATTGTATCCTACTGTACTATATTATCCATGACCATAATATCCTACTGTACTATATTACCCATGGCCATCGTGTCGTACTGTACTATATTACCCATGGCCATCGTATCCTACTGTACTTTATTACCCATGGCCATCGTATCATACTGTACTATATTACCCATGGCCATCGTGTTGTACTGTACTATATTACCCATGGCCATCGTATTCTACTGTACTATATTACCCATGGCCATCGTATCGTACTGTACTTTATTTCCCATGGCCATCGTATCCTACTGTACTATAATACCCATGGCCATCGTATCCTACTGTACTATATTCTATATTACCCATGGCCATCGTATCTTACTGTACTATATTACCCATGGCCATCGTGTTTTTCTGTACTATATTACCCATGGCCATCATTTCCTACAGTACTACATTTCCCATGGCCATCGTATCCTACTGTACTATATTCCCCATGGCCATCGTGTCCTACTGTACTATATTTCCCATGGCCATCGTGTCATACTGTACTATATTTCCCATGGCCACCGTATCCTACTGTACTATATTACCCATGGCCATCATGTCGTACTGTACTATATTACCCATGGCCATCGTATCTACTGTACTATATTATCCATGACCATAATATCCTACTGTACTATATTACCCATGGCCATAGTGTCGTACTGTACTATATTACCCATGGCCATAGTATCCTACTGTACTATATTTCCCATGGCTATCATATCCTACTGTACTATATTACCCATGGCCATGGTATACTACTGTACTATATTACCCATGGCCATCGTGTCATACTGTACTATATTTCCCATGGCCATTGTATCCTACTGTACTATATTATACATGACCCTAATCTCCTACTGTACTATATTACCCATGGCCATCGTGTCGTGCTGTACTATATTACCTATGGCCATCGTATCCTTCTGTACTATATTTCCCATGGCTATCGTATCCTACTGTACTATATTTCCCATGGCCATCATAGCTTACTGTACTATATTACCCATGGCCATCGTATCGTACTGTACTTTATTTCCCATGGCCATCGTATCCTACTGCACTATATTACCCATGGCCATCGTGTTGTTCTGTACTATATTACCCATGGCCATCATTTCCTACTGTACTACATTTCCCATGGCCATCGTATCCTACTGTACTATATTACCCATGGCCATCGTGTCGTACTGTACTATATTTCCCATGGCCATCGTATCCTACTGTACTATATTTCCCATGGCCATCGTATCCTACTGTACTATAATACCCATGGCCATCGTATCCTACTGTACTATATTTCCCATGGCCATCGTGTTGTACTGTACTATATTACCCATGGCCATCGTATCCTACTGTACTATATTTCCCATGGCCATCATATCCTACTGTACTATATTATCCATGGCCATCGTATCCTACAGTACTATATTTCCAATGGCCATCGTATCCTACTGTACTATATTACCCATGGCCATCGTGTCATACTGTACTATATTACTCATGGCCATCATATCCTACTGTACTATATTTCCCATGGCCATCGTATCCTAATGTACTATATATATTACCCATGGTCATCATATCCTACTGTACTATATTACCCATGGCCTTCATATTCTACTGTACTATATTACCCATGGCCATTGTATCCTACTGTACTATTTTACCCATGGCCATCGTATCCTACTGTACTATATTACCCATGGCCATAATATCCTACTGTACTATATAACCCATGGCCATCGTATCCTACTGTACTATATTACCCATGGCCATGGTATACTACTGTACTATATTACCCATGGCCATCGTATCCTACTGTACTATATTACCCATGGCCATCGTATCCTACTTTACACTGCTATCTTAGGTTCTTCATTTTAAATCCTCACAATTATCATTTTAAGGAATTGATATCTGATTTTTCACAATGTTTGTCTTTATATGTTCATGTTCTATAAATCTATAACTATGCATGTTATCAGGATATCTTTAACTCATTCACCCCTGAAGACACATTTGAACTCTTCCAATTCAAAGGTTGGAATATTTCATTAAGAAATTTTAGGGGTGAATGAGTTAATTTGATGCTGAATCAAAAGGAGATGTAAAGGAGACTTGATATAATGATCAATCATCCTTAAGTTCAGTACCCTGGTACACTCTGTAATTGATAAAATGTTTCAATATTGACATACATCTTAATCACTAAATTCTTTAATATCTCAGATAGCTTTTTAATGTCACCCATTTTTTGAGATATTTGTTTATTCTAGTTATTACAATATTTTACTAGTTGTGGAAATACAAATATCTATTGTGCAGAATTAAAGGCATTTTCAATGTGCTGCATGTAAAAATGATAATGAAAATTTAAGAAAATATGTTAATGTTATGCTAAATATTTGTAAATGATCACAGGAACATTACTAGCAAAATGTGTAGAGCAATATAACCCTAAATAGGGTATACTGTAAAATGTGGCAGGCTTTTGTCCACCATTCAGGTGTTAAGTTATTTTGTGAGGAAATATTAGAAGCAACAGACCTACAACGTAGGTGTGATATATACATAATCAGTGTGTAAACATAAAAAATTGACATAAAATACATCTAAACAAAAAAGAGCATTTGGTAATTAACAACACTTTTATGATGGGACTTAATCTTGGCATCACAATGAAAAGATAACAGATTTTAACAAAATGGCATTCACAAAATTTTCAAGAAGGTGCAACAAAGAAAGTACACCTGAAGAAGAAAAACTTTCTCAAAAACTGATGCTTTGCTAGTATTTTAACATTTTAATTATGACATAGCTGTAAAATACTATAAAACTTAAAATCATCCACAACTGCAATAGTCGTTTCTTTTATGTAGACTTGTTCATTATGGTCTAATTGAGGGGTGACAAAGGTTGATCCTTCATGTACTAATACTTAACATGCATCAATCAACCTCTTGTAAGACAAAAAAATACAAAATACTCATTAACAACAGGACTTCACGAAAATATTCAGGCATGCCATATGAAATTTGTGTGGAAACCACATTTACCTGTGATGTTGCTGATAAAGATTTACCTGTAAGGGTTGTGTACCCACCCACAAATACATCAGAATATAATCCACTGGCAATCTTGGAACGGTAAAGGAACAAGTTGCATTACAAATGTGTAGCTTTTTAATGTATAAATTACGCAAAAAAATAATGCAAAATTCTAGCATCTTTAAATGAAATGAAGTATATGAAAATTCATACAAAAATATAAACATGGAATACTGAAATATAAGTTTGATAACTCTTCAATCTAAAATATTGTCATAATCTCAATCAACGTTTTTTTTGTTTGTTTCAGTTTTTTTGGCTCCCAGAAACTCCAACAATACTGTAAATAGTTGAGTCACCAAAGTCTACTTACATAGATCAGTGTTATTGGTATCCATTTTAAATTGAGAGCCAAAACTGATAATTTGATTAAGAAATTCAATATTTTGGGGGCCACGATTGAGGCCAAAGTCCCCAAGCATGCAGACTGACAGATATTTGTATCAAAATTATTTTGAATGGGCTTGACTATGCTAAACAGCATCTAAGACTGATTTTACTGTGCGATTCTTTATCGGATTTGAACTAGTTGTACCGTAAAAACCTGCTGAATCCGTAATGGATAGTTTTAAGAACACCAATAGAAAATTGAAATCTATACAAAAAGAGGAGTATTTTCACCAACCTTCATGAATACACAAGGAACATGAAGTTAGACTTAACTGTATACTGGATGAGTTCAATGGTCCAGAAATCAATTGTACAAATAAATAGGACATTTTTACAAGGAAAATAAGCTCTATTTTGAACCTGGAAAATCTGTCTTATTTATCATGATTTTTTTCTAAAATGTCTGGAATTTCTACGCTAGTAACAAAAATACAACAGGAAAAACTTACTGGTTGGCTGCAATTTCCTGTCTGACTTGCTCAAGAGACTCTAGAAAAAACCTTTCTAGTTCTGTCCTCTGATCAAGAATGTTCTTCGCAAGTTTTTTGACCTTGTTCATTTCCTTAGTTTTAAGCTCTATTACTCTCTGGAGTTTTGCAATTTCAATTTTTGCAGCCTCATTTTCAATACGTGATCTTTCCATGGCTGCCTTCTTGTCGGTTTTGAACTCTCTGGCCATATGACTTAGTGATTGTTCCAGTGTTTGCACCTTTTCATTCAACTGAAAGAGAACAAAATTCCTTTGTACAATAAGTGTATCACAGGTGTGGAGCAAGGTAGGCCCATCCCATGCCATGTGCAGATTTTGTTCAACTTAATAATATGAACAAGAGGTCCATTGGACCTGTATCGCTCACCTGGTTTTATATATGTCATTACAACTGAATGCATTAGTACATCTTTATATGAAATTTCCTCAAAACCAGACAAGATCTATGTTCTAATTCCCAACTGGGACCACAATATCTGACTTTCAAGTAATCAGGGCCTCCATTGAGTTGCCATGTTAACAGATTTTGAAATAAGTAATATGTCATATTACAGGGTGCAATTAGACAATACTTTAATTTTCGTTCAACTATAAGCTTATATAAACCTAGAAACAATTTTTTAACAATTTATGAAAACTACACCATAGAATATGATAATCTATAGCTGTACCATTTCTTAGGACTGCAGGGGTCCAATCAACCTCATTCAATTAAGAAATGTTTGTTCTTCCTCAATAATGTTTTTGACCAAATTTTGTACAATCCACTCAGGCAATTAGGGGGTATTAGCGTCTTAAAGCAAAATATTAGATAATTTTCCTCTTT